ATATATATATATATATATATATATATATATATATATATATATATATACACACACACACAACTAATTAACTCTGTTGCGACAGACAAAGCAGTAGATATTGGTAATCTGAAAAACTGTAAAGTTAATCAAAACCTGATCAAAGGTAAATGGACTGCACTTTTATATAGCACCTTTATATCTAATCAAGATACTCAAAGTGCTTTACAAAACAATCTGTGCCCTCATTTACCTACTCATACAGTACTCTATGTCTATACAAACAATACTCGGCGCCGATGGGCAAGAAGGTATCGTGGCAGGCAAATTCGGAAGGCATATCTGGGCGGCCACATCTGATTGGACGATAGAAAAATGGGCGTATCCAGCCGGCCACATCTGATTGGACTATAGGAAAATGGGCATATCTGGCCGGCCACATCTGATTGGACGATAGAAAAATGGGCGTATCTGGCCGACCACATCTGATTGGACGATAGAAAAATGGGCGTATCTGGCCGGCCACATCTGATTGGACGATAGAAAAATGGGCATGTCTGGCCGGCCACATCTGATTGGACGATAGAAAAAAAGGCTGAATGATAAAAAGCCGTTTGTGTTAACCACAGACACATTATGTCTAAAAACAAGGCGTTATTGGCAGATTGTGTTAACCACAGGCATATTATGTCTATGGTGTTAACCAGTTCAACATTGGCGGCGTCTCAGTTCGACATTGGCGGCATCTCCATAACTTCTTTTTCCACGTCTCTTAACACAGAACTTCCGGTTACATTTCAAAATAAGAGCAACATAACTGGGTAGTGGGGAGGGCTAAATGTTTGTTTTTTTAAATACCTAGCCATAACATAAAAAAAAAAATCCATTTTGGTTGTTGAAAAATGTGAAAATAGTTGCAATCGATTCATAAAGAAAGAAAAATATTAATGATACTTAAACTGGCCTTGGGACAAAGGATGTTGCCTTTAACTTCACATTTTCTTGTTCAACCCGCAGTCACTGCAGATGAGTGATTTGTCAGTTTCTGTAAGATTTCTGCAGCTGGAGCAGGTATTTCTGTTTACTGGTTAACTACCTCAGCTGTCTCACATTTTAAGGGTCAATCCTACTCCATGTTTCAGCTCCTTTCATAGATCAGATCTCATAGAATACACTTCTAAAGAGCAAATTTTGTTTTTAGCGTTTGTTTTGGGCCATTATCTGTTACAGGACTCATCATCTTTAATTGAGACCAGACTTTTTGGACAAACAGGAGCAGGTTTCGCTTCAGATGCTTCATATTTCATTGTACCCAGACCTCACTCAAGCCAACCTGTGTCATTTGCAGCCTACAACCAAGAACAAAAGAGAATCTTCTTGTGTTTGACAGTAGATATAATGCTGGTTCTTAGAAACTTTCAGTTTAAAAAAAGAGTTGACATAACTTAACTAAAGAGCAGCTGATACTGTTAGCCAATCAGTGTTTGTCCCCCACAAACGCCTATTAGCCAGAAACGCCCACTTTTGGCCTGCAGAGAACCCCTTCTCCCGATGGGACACACATCGGAGGCAATGGGGGGTTCAGTGTCTTGCCCAGGGACACCTCGGCATGTGGCTGCTGGTGGATTTGAGCCCCCAACTCTTGCATTGGAGGACGCCTGCTCTAACCACTCAGCCACAGCCGCCCCAAGGTGAATGTAAAATAATGTTACTCATAATAAAAACATAGAGATGCAGCATAAATACCATCAACTTGAGAGTCCATGTCATGTACGATCATTGAAGAGACAGCCTCTGTTAGTTGTCGTATTTTGTAGTAATTTCTTCAGTCACGACCCGTTAAGTTAATCAAAACCTGAACAAAGGTGAATGAAAATTAATGTTACTCATAATAATAACAGAGATGCAGCATAAATACCATCAACGTGAGAGTCCATGTCATGACTTAGCTGCTAGCTTCCAGCTATCATGCTAAGCTAACATTCACGACTTTTGTTGCTGAACAAAATAAAAATATTCAGTGCCCATATCAACACAACTACCGCGAAACACGCATACAAGAAACATTTAGGATTGGCTTTAAATGGAGAATACATACAGTAAAACAAATAACGCTGTTCAAAAAAGTTACTTCGAGAATCACTTCCGGGCCGATGATGGATTTATCCGCTTTCAAAATAAGAGCTGACAACTTATTTTCTCAAATTTTATTTTCACTTTTTGACTTTCACAATTGGTTTTTCTTATAGCTCATAACTGTATTTGTATAGTTTTTACTGTTTTAATATGTAATTTATGAATATACAAACTATTTGAATTTATAAAACACAAAAGGTTTGCTGGTTGCAATAGATATGGAGCTAAATATTAGCTTAAATAATTCAAAACTTTATTTGTATGGTAAATATATATATTTATATATATAATTATGGACCACATGTTGCATCTTTTCTCTAATCTCAAAACTTCTGTTCTTGGCCAGTGGCACTATTTTGACAAGTAAAATCATAATTTTCTTCCTTTCAAGCTTGTTTTAAAATAAATAAATAAAGAAAGGAAAAAAAAAGCTGAAAATGTCCATTCTGGAGTCAGTTGTGTGCTGTACTATAAAGGTTTTCCATTTGGAAGTTCTCTATAACAATGTAGCTGAAAAATATCCTGATGCATGCTCAATAATCCAGGTAGAAAAATCTAAAAAAGTTAAATCTGGTCCTCTGGACATTCAAAAAACAAAACAATAAAAAATTTGTAGAAACATTTTGTCTTTTATCGGAAAGACTTCCTCAGTCTGAGGCGCTGTACTCAGTTCAGTCTTATAAATAGCACCTTCTCGTAGTGGATCAACCAGTTTGCTGCTGACAACCAAAACCAGCTGCTCACATGTTCAAGGAGGACAATCAGCCTAACGATGTATCGTTAGCACACTGATGGCTGTTTGCTATTCACAGGGAGCTGAGTGATACTAGCAATAACAGCATTGTAAGAGGGGAAGCTGAAAGCCTTTTCTCTTCTATTGATTCTCAACAGATCTCACCTGCGATTGTATGATGATCCAAAAGTTTTCCCTTGAACTGATTCAAAATGTTGATTTGGATCTACAGAGCTGAATCTCACCAGAATCTGTGGATTCTGGATTCCAGGTGGAACACCAGGAGAGCTTGTGCAGGAAGAACAACCTTCACATCAATGTGAAGACGACAGAGATGATCGTATATTTCAGACGGAGCAAACGCACTTTTGTAATGGTTTATTATCTGGGTGTCCAAATACATCTTTAAAACGTCTTCAGTTGATCCAAAATGCTGCTGCCAGAGTCTTAACTGGAGTTAGTGGGAGAGATCATATCTCCAGTTTTAGTTTTTCTCCATTTGCTCCCTGTCAAATCCAGAATAGAATTCAAAATCCTACTTCTAACTTACAAGGCTCTCAACAACCTGGCTGCATCTTAAATTACAGATCTTTATTGTTCCATATTTTCCTAAAGGAGCACTTTGCTCTCAGGCTGCAGGTTTACTTGTGGTTCCTAGAATTTACAAAAACAGAATGGGAGGAAGATCTTTCAGTTATCTGGCTCCTCTCTTGTGGAACCAACTTCCAATCTCTGTCCGTGAGGCTGACACATTATCCAATTTTAAAACTAGTCTTAAGACTCCTTTTTGCTAAATCCTATAGTTAAAGTTGGCTTAGGTTTCCTGAGCTGTCCCTTAGTTCTGCTGCTATAGGCTTAGACTGGTGGAGGACAAACTGACCATACTTTTCACTCTGCTACTGTCTTTACTTACTCTGCTCAACCTGTTTTGTATTTGTAATTATTTTTTTCTATCCTTAACATGTGTTTTTTTTTTTTTTGTCTTTCAGGTACACCTGGACTTATATCTGGACCTACCATTCTGTGTTCTTCAGAGGTTTTTGTGTCGTTTCTTTCAGTAGTTCTTGGTGCAGCGCCCCCACAGGCGAGCGGGGGAACAGGTTGGTTCAACGGGTTGACTCGACTGCACAGTGCAGTGTGAATGCAAACGCACAAGCTTAAATGTTAACAAAACGTCATGAATATTGGTCCCCAACCAAACCAAGTCTACCAGACTATCTGGTGTAAAAACAACCTTATGCGAGTGTTAGCAACACGCTCGATCAGTTACATGTAATCACATGCAGCAGCTAACTCACGTAGAGAAACTAAGAATTGGTTTACCGTCTCATCTGGTCTCTGTGCTCTTTGTCGAAACTTGTGACGTTCAGCAATGACGTTCACTTTTGGTACAAAATGTTCTTTAAGAGCAGCAATAGCAGCAGCAAAACGTGTATCCAGTGTTCGGCAGGGTTTAGTAAAGCCGTTGACCCTCCATACGCAGGGCATGAAGTAGAACCACGCTCTTTATTTCATCCGGCCAGTTGGCCCCCAATGCTGCTATCACCAATATGTAGTTTTCAAACATTTTTAACCATGTTGGAAATTATACTGTTGGTTCTCTTTGGCATGGCAGGAATGGAGCAGGTAAAGGCACAGAAATAGACAAATTCGTCGCCAATGTTGTGGGTTGCAAGATAGAATTAAAGGAAAAATAAGCAAACACATGGATCAGCTTCAGTTCTCCGTTTACTTTTACTTTCCACTTCCTTCCGTTCCTCTCTGTACAGCATATTTTAAACAGTCTTAGACCGCCCTCTGGTGCCCTTTCTTTAGGCCTGTCGCAATAAACAATAAATCAATTAATCGCATGATAACTGAAAATTATCAACATCATTTTCATTTATCGGCTTTATTGTTTCTTCGTGTCTATCTCTTTCTACTGAAGAAAATGGATGGAAAAAGCTCAACTCCAGTGGTCTTCACTGACCCCTCTCTTTCTCTTTATAATCCAGTGTTTCCCCTACCATTATACAGGCGGGGTGCCTCACCCCATCAACAGAACTGAGCACCGCACCTATTAAACTGAACTTGCCCCTACCACCCCCACCCAGCACTGACGTATCACTAAGGTAGCGATGCAAAATACAGGCTCTCTAGCTTAAAAGCCAAGGCTGCACTCACATTGCCTCTTCCCTCATGTTGAACGGCCCCCGATCCCGCTCAAAAACTGTTAGTACAAGCTGCGCTCAGACATGTCTCCGTCCCCCTCCCACCCACCCCCCCACAGCAAAAATCATGGATGAGATGAGCACCCCGCTATGGCAAGCTAACTAGGGAAAACACTGTAATCCATTTTAACCATCGAAAAAAGTGTTATTGGATCGCTAAAAGCAGATAAGCTGAGAAGCTAAGCTACGAGCCGACCTGGGGGAAAAAACCTCCGTCTTTTCAAAACTCCAAAAATTCAAGGTTGAAACTCATACCTTCATGTAAAAAGTTTTTCTCTGCAAAAAGAAGCTGGGAACTTGTTTACTGATGTTTTTATTAAAAGCTTTGTGTGAAAAATGCTATGCCAAAGCGCTCAATCAACACCGACCATCCGCCATTTTGAGAAATGAAGAGAGACAGCCCATGTCATGTCAAGTGGCCTCCCTTCTATTTTTCTTAAAGAGACACACCGCTAGCTCCCGTACTTGTGAACTCCTTCGGTACAGTCTTAATACAGCCACCTGGTGGTCGAAAAATGATACTACATGCAAAACAAATTAAACATTTCTTCTTAAATTTGACAATAATTATTAATTATTGTCAAATTTCAATCAATTTTATCGTTTATAGCAAGAATTTCTGAGACAATTAATCGCCCAGCAAAATTTGCTGTTGTAACAGGTCTACTTTCTATGTAATAACCATTACTTCAGTTTCAACAGCAGAACACAACAACAGTCAGAACAGCTGAAAGATTTCTTTCCACTGTGACTTTTCATGTGTTGCTTTAAGCCACTTTTGCTCGCAAAAGCTGCTTCACAGACTGAACAGCTAAAAGGTTTCTCTCCACTGTGCCTCATCATGTGTTGCTTTAAACCACTTCTGCTTGCAAAAGCTGCTTCACAGACAGAACAGCTGAAAGGTTTCTCTCCACTGTGCCTTATCATGTGTTGCTTTAAGTCACTTTTGAGTGCAAAGGCTGCTTCACAGACAGAACAGCTGAAAGGTTTCTCTCCAGTGTGTCGCATCATGTGTTGCTTTAAACTACGTTTCCTTGCAAAAGATGCTTCACAGACAGAACAGCGGAAAGGTTTCTCTCCACTGTGCCTTATCATGTGTTGCTTAAAGCCATTTTTGCTTGCAAAGGCCGCTTCACAGACAGAACAGCTGAAAGGTTTCTCTCCACTGTGCCTCATCATGTGTTGCTTTAAGCCACTTTGGCTTGCAAAGGCTGTTTCACAGACAGAACAGCTGAAAGGTTTCTCTCCACTGTGCCTTATCATGTGTAGCTTTAAACTACGTTTCCTTGCAAAGGCTGTTTCACAGACAGAACAACTGAAAGGTTTCTCTCCACTGTGCTTCATCATGTGTTGCTTTAAGCCACTTTTCCTTGCAAAGGCTGTTTCACAGACCGAACAGATGAAAGGTTTCTCTCCACTGTGCCTTATCATGTGTAGCTTTAAACTACGTTTCTTTGCAAAGGTTGCTTCACAGACTGAACAGCTTAATGGCTTCTCTCCACTGTGCCTCATCATGTGTTGCTTTAAGCCACTTTTGCTTGCAAAGGCTGCTTCACAGACAGAACAGCTGAAAACTTTCTCTCCAGTGTGTCTCATCATGTGTTGCTTTAAGTCACTTTTGCTTGCAAAGGCTGCTTCACAGACAGAACAGCTGAAAACTTTCTCTCCAGTGTGTCTCATCATGTGTTGCTTTAAACTGCGTTTCCTTGCAAAAGATGCTTCACAGACAGAACAGCAGAAAGGTTTCTCTCCACTGTGCCTTATCATGTGTTGCTTAAAGCCATTTTTGCTTGCAAAGGCTGCTTCACAGACAGAACAGCTGAAAGGTTTCTCTCCACTGTGCCTCATCATGTGTTCCTTAAAGCCACTTTGGCTAGCAAAGGCTGTTGCACAGACAGAACATCTGAAAGGTTTCTCTCCACTGTGCCTTATCATGTGTAGCTTTAAACTACGTTTCCTTGCAAA